CTCCTTTTTAAATTTTTATTTTATAGATATGTGCTGATAGTGTCAATGGGCTTCATGTCTGTTGCTCATCTCTACAGACAAATTACTGACTATGGCGGTTACACTTTGGACTTTACAGGGTAGATATTTATATATATATATATTATTTATCATAATGATGATTATAGGAACTGAGCTGTGGACTTCTGTCTCCATGAGATAGTGCTACCCTTGTTCACTGTTTCCAAGTCAAATTGGAAGTTGGAACGATTGTTTTTGAGGAGAGAGGGAAGGCAGAAGACCTGAGGAAAACCCCCCTGGGCAAGGACAAGAACCCACAACAAACTCAACTATAATGTGATGCCAAGTTTGGGAATTGAGCTTGGGTCTCAGTGATGAGAGCCATTAGCCATTTGTGAGAAGGAACAATGAAGGGCTATTGTTCAAAATGACAGCTTTAGAAACTCTTTGCAATGGCAAAGTTACATTATTAACTCATTTGACAAACCAATTCATCTTTTTTTTCGAAAACATCTTTTTCACTGTGCCAAAACATAAAAAATTTTATCCGTCATATCTACTTATGGGCACTATAAATATATTCAGGAATTTTTTATCTTTTTTTGACAGACCCCTGATGGTTTTGGTACAAAAGATCACTTACGTGGCATTCAGTGTCCATGATGGTATGTATTCAGAATGGTACATATTCTCCGTACTGTTCTCTATACAATTTTTAAGGTGCTGATAGGGAGAATTTGTTTAATAATCAATAGCTTCTTAAGTTGGTGATCATTTTCTTTAATTCATGTGAACTTAGCGTGTGATTCAGGGGTGATTTTGTAAAGAGAAATTAAGTGCCAGTCACTCAGGGGTTGATGATTGGACACTGAGGTGACGAATTCTGGAATATAATTGTGAGGTTGCTAACCCCTTTACTTAAAGAGAAAAAATATCAGTTAAACCTGTGTCACTGACGTACCATTTTCATCTTTTATCTGTCGCTCTGATAGGGCTGGGAAGGGATGATAGCAAACTAACAGAAGAACAAAGGAAATGCAGACTTGAGTAAGTTTAAGTATTTATATCTCCAATATTCTGTTGCCTTCCCAAGGTTAACTGTTTTCAAAACAAACCAAAATTGAAACATACCTTGAAAACCAACAGATAAGCTGCACTCACAGATAAGCTACACCTTGAGTTTGGCAACTCAAATTTTGAAAAAAGAGTTTTTGCGAAGAATTCCAAAGAAATCAGAAGTGAAGTCTTACAAAAGTTTCTTCATATCGATTGCTTCATGAGACATGCATGAATGTTTAGTTATTCTTAATGTTTACAATTAAATGACCCATCACATAAACCATGGGATTAAGAGGGCTCCAGAGCCTTACAATGCCCAGCAAGGAGATAATGAAAAGCCTAATTTATTTTTCTATTTTCCAGGAAAGTTCCATCTTTATTGGAGTACTTCAGCTATTTATTTCACTATAGTACAATACTTGTTGGACCTGTCTGCACCTTTAAAGATTTTAGCGATTTTATCAATGGCTCAGACATCATTTCTAAGGTAAGACAGTGGTATCAATTTGTAATTAGCAGCATTTTGTTGAGCTTGTCAAGAACACTTTAAAATGAAAATCACTGAATCATGGCCCCTAAATGTTTGTCATGTGACTACACCCGCTTTCTTCCCTGACTCATCCACCTCTAAGGGGTGATGTAAGTGATGGGTGATGTAAACAAATTTTAAAAGCAAACACAAAAAACATGGCTTATGACTAGGAAGTGGGTTAATGTGAACTGATGAGAATACATGCCAAAAACAATAGTGCAGGTTTTGTATAACTGCCAAGTTACATTAAAAGCTGCAGGTCATCTCTGAGGAGGGTTTGAACATCCCCTGCATCCCTCCCTTAGTTCTTCCTCAGAGGGAAGGGGCCAATTGAAAAAATTATTTTACCTTGAACTCACCTGCTTGTACATTATCTTGGTAGGAGTCAGGCCAGAAAGAGCCTTCACCTCTGGTAAGTGTTCAAATATTTCACATGAGCCTAGTAAACAAGTATCATGGAAATATTCAGTCAGTTCCAAGCTTCAACATCCCTTCTCTCCCGCCCAAAGATCTCCAAAGATCTCATCAGTAATTCTCCTTACTGTCTGCCATACAGCTCTTGTGATGTTAGTTTGGAGAATTTGGTATTGGAATAACTTATAATCCCTAATTGATATTTTTCTTTATTCTTATCACTTGTCTGATTGATATTGTATTGATATATTGTAAGGAGAACTTCTGTCTTGGTTACCCATGAGAGTTAAAGGGTTAAAGATTGATTCGTTTGCATTCCAGCTCCCTTATCCAAAACTGTGTTCAAATGCCCTATTCAAGCACAATTTTTTTTGGAAGGATTCTTCCTGCGATCAACGAATGTTTTTTGGTGCCGTTTTTGGTTTTTTCGTTTGTATGGTTCACTCTACGATGTAGTAATTTATCATAACAGACTCGTTCGGCAACTGAATGCAATACCTTCGAATAAATTTTATTTAATATCGTTCGAGGGGGTTGCTGTATATTTTACAGCGTTTGTTCATTCATAATTCAATAGCAGTTCATGCTCTGCGGACAACAACCAATTTACGAGAAAAACAAGATCAGCGGCAGTGACTTCGATTATCCAAGCTTTAAAACCCACAAATCAGACAATTCAAATGTACACTCTAGCTTTTAAACATACCTTTAAAGATTTTTCGCAGATTTGCAAACCTTTTCTTCGAAGCCATTTGCCCTCGAAAGCGTAGTCTTTACTTTCACATTCCTCCATGATAAAAATCAAACCACGTTTATTCCACTGTAAAGACTTGACACTTAGGGTTTAAATTCCCAAGTCCACCCAGACAAGGTTCAAATAGTCTGTTTTACAGTTGCATGCGTGGTTGCCAAGCCTTTGAACAGGAGTGAGGCTGAGGTTGACCTTGTTATGATACAAACATTGCTGCTTTTCAAATTTAAATTACTTTGTTATCATGTTAACTAGATATTGGTCTCTATCACAACAAGGTCATCTTCAGCCTCACTCCAAATCAAAGGCTTGGCAACTAAGTACACAACTGTTAGATGGCTTATTCCTCACCCCGGGAAGGCGTTTTGTGTCAAATAATTACGTACTCTACTGTCACGGACGACGGTCATGGACTCCCCGGGCATTTTATCGGTGTAGTTACCTGACATTTCCGTTACTACGTGCATTTCTGGACATGAGTGTGATAATGAGGGCTCGCTAGCAAGTTATACTCGGGAATCTAATGAACTCTTTAACTCGACTGAATAGTTTAAAAACCGCACAAGTTTAGCTAATCTCTCATCTTTTTTTCCACAGTTTGCTGCTCTTACAAATCTGATGACGTCGATGACATGTATAGCCTTCGTAATTCTAACTGGATCCAATTACCCCATCGCCAGGAATGGAGGTATTCTGTTTCACTTCGTGGTTGTGTCTGTAGTTGATAAGGTCGGAAAAAAATTCAGGATTGCATTGGTTTTGCTTTACTTTCTTCTCTGATTGGTCCAGAAAACTCGCGCCACTCTCTCAACCAATCAGATGCACGTCGGTCGCCCGCGTTTTCCCGCGCTTTTGGCAGTTTGCTGGTTTTTACTTTGAGTTCTAGAAGTATTTTCTCTCTTCTGGTAGGCCGTTGTTATTACAATTGTTTTAAATTTACGACACTCGGTCGAAAAGTGTTTTATCCTTCATCAAGTAAACGCAAATTTAAAGTTTAACGTTCTTGCCATCAACGTCTTTAAGGCGCTTTTGTAACGTTTTTACCCTTACATTGCTCCCAGAGATATAAAAATTGGTACCGGTGAACGGTCTGTGAAGGCGCAAACCCTTCCCTGGGTAGAGAAGCGGGGAAGGGGGCGGTGAAATACCCCACTCCGTGGAGTAAGAATACTCTTAATCTACGTATGCACCAGAAACTGTGCTTAGTTACGGCAGTTGTGCGGGCCAGTTTCTACTGCTAACTTTTCCTTTAGCTAGAATCAATCATTTAAAAAATAAGTATGATTAAACCCAAAGCACTCAACCTCATAAAGGATGCGACCCCCCTCCCCCCCCTGACCTGTCACTTGAAATGGGGGGGGATCTGTACGCACCTTCAGATGTACGTCTTGCTTCTTCTCCACTTTTTTTTTGAGAGAATCCCAACCTCTTTTTTAACTCAACCGCGTTTTCTGTTTCTTTACAGATCCTGATTTCATAAGTTCTAATCCTCTACTGTGGAGACTTGCCTATGCCTGGATCTCAATAGTGTCTGTGAGAATGCGTTACTACTTCGCCTTTAAACTAGGTAAGTAGTGTTACGGATGTCGTGACATCGTGTCACGCTTTAAGAGCGCAATGCATAATGGAATTGTAGGAGCGAGAACCGCCTTCTGGCGGCAATGTTGAGTTGATGTTTTCTCGTGATTAAAGTTGCTTGTTGAGTCGAACCGCGGAAACAGGAGCCTTCTGAGCCTTCTCCAACTTGCAGTAGTGTTGGATATTCAACAAGTAGCAACTGATACAAGCGCATTCTCTGTGTCATGAATTTTTAGGTGTAGCGGACTGCATCACTATGTATATTTTATTGTTGCTTTCAGCGGAGGCAATGAATAACTTTTGTGGACTCGGATTCAACGGTTTTGACGAAAATGGAAGAGCGAGGTGGAACCGTATGACTATTGTGAATATTCTCAAGATCGAGGTGCGTTTGTGTGTGTATGTTCTTTTTTTTTTTTGTCCAAACTATTGGATTTTTTGGGGGTTTTCTACCATTTTCCCCTTTTCCTTCGCTTTTCTTTCAGTTTGCAACGAGTCTGAAGGAAGTACTAGACAACTGGAATATCTGTACAGTCCTGTGGTTGAGAAGGTATGCTGTTATCTTTTTATTGATTGAGTGGGAGGGCCGGACGGGAAAATATTTGGCCCGAGGGCATAATGTGCACTTTCGTTTTTTCTTCTTCTCCTCTTTCAGCTCCCATCTCGTTGGGGCAGTTGACCATTTCTGGCCCTCCTCAAACCATCATAAAGGGCCCCCATACGGGGGGGGTTTTTGTCAAATGTTTTTCGGTAAGAGCGCGCGGGGGACCGGACGGGTCATACGACAACTCTTACTATGATATATGATCAAAGAGAGCCAATAAAAATCAAAGTGGAAGACGCAAGCTTCCTGTTGCGCCGGGAACACCGGTCACTAAATCACTATTGGTATTTTAGTGAGTGTTGCGAACGAAAAGACTGACAGTTTATTAGATGTTAACGTCATGGTGTTTGCTTAAACTGGGAAAACGAACCTTTTGTGGGTCACACATTTGTTACTCACTCTGTGACCCCCAAGTTTAACATTTCTTGGGGGGGAAAAAAACGTTTCTTTCTATTTCCAAGTTATCGTGGTTTCGGGAAAAGAATTCCTTTTTCTTAATACAATTTCCTTTGCTCCTTTTACACTCTGAAAACCACCAACTGGATCTTTGATCGGGGCACTTTCAAGAAGTCTATCAAATAATGGAAATTTATCCCATTTATTAAGAGCTTGGTTCATTTGTGTCATGAAGTTAACAATTTTTATGTGGCTTAATATTACACATGAATTAATTCTTATTACACTACTTTCTCATAGAATTGTGTATGAACGAGTTTCACATCATCCCACGCTGGCTGTGTTCGTCTTGTCTGCTGTGTGGCATGGGTTCTACCCAGGATACTACATGGCCTTCGCAACTTGTGGACTTATGGTTGAAGCAGCGAGGAAGGTATTTATTTGCAAACTGAAAACTGTTTAAATGAGAACAGGTGGCCTTAAAATATTTTTGTTCCAGGTAAAAACAAAGGAAATGTTTCTTGCGATTTTGTTTGTAGGTTCGTAGAAAATACAGGCCTCTCTTTCAAGGCTCACATGTCTCCTCTCGTTTGTATGACCTCGTAACGTGCGCAGTAACCATCCTTTCTTTGACGTTTGCTTCCATCCCATTCGTTGGTTTGGAAGCTAGATTTGGCTTGGAGTTTTGGCGGTAAGAATTTCTTTAACTTTATCTGTTTCGTAATGACACTTACAGGGATATGAACATCATGAATTAGCACAAATTTTAATTTATTTTGCCGGCTCGTATCAGAGCTTTTGAGTTGAGCACAAGCTTTAGCCGAGTGGAGATTGGGACGAGACGTGCAAGAGGCTAGTTATCTCGTTACTGAGACTCAGTCCCTTCTCTCTCTACGACACGATAGAACGTCCGCTTCCCTAAATTCCCCTAGCACTATTAGAAAACAGGTGCGGATTACTGATAGTCCAAATTTGCAAAGTTGCAATGTTCAAATACCACTGCATTTTAACGCACGGTATTAAGACTGGTTTACACATCAGATGAGGGACAGAAGGGTGGGTTACCTGTGGTAGTCTCGTCTCTCATTTACCCAACTCCCCCTTTCCCACGCCCTGGCCTGGCAACGAGTGATCAGTATTTTTCGACTCCTTGTGTGGGAGGCGGGGGGGGGGGGGGAATTAGATTTCATTTCTGTTCCACGCGCGCGAAACTGTGTAGCATATTGATTTAAAAGTTGTTTTTCTTCTCCAGTTCTATGTATTTTTATGGAATTGTTTGGTCCATCATGGCGTTTCTTCTCCTAAGTGGTGGGAAATCCAAGACCGAAGGAAAGAAAGACAATAAAACCGAAAATGTGGATGTCAGAGATGAAGAGAAAGACAAAAAAGGCAACTCAACAGATGAGAATTTAACAGAGCTCCGAAACAGAGTTAAAAAGAATATGGAATCATCAAATGAACTGTTTCGTAAGGGTACACCTAACAGCCTGCTAAAAGAGAACCTGATTGTAGGGTCATAGAAGAAGACACTCAATGAATTTTAGACAGAATTTTATTTAAGGAATCTTTAAGAGCCTTATAAAGCTTAATTCTTAAAGGCCCCTTCACTCAGCACCGTATGTATAGTTTGAACTGTGGCTCAGATTTTAGCAGGATATACGCGCTTCTGCGCTAGAGGTATTACTTCTGTTGGTATAAAAAGATAGAACGTAATAATAGGTATATTGGCGTTCTAAAAATCCCCAGTTTTCTAATCAGTACCAAAAAATTTATGATTTTTCTGCGACATAAACGATACCTGAACATTAAAAAAATAGCTACTGAGGTTTGTACTTGTTATTTCACCAAATTTACGTTAGAAAATTAATATATATATATTACCTGTAAATACGATGAAATAAATTATGATAATTTTGATATGATGATTAGAATATTTTGCTCTGTTTTGTAGCTCTTAAGAGCTGCAACTTTTTCTACGTAACTTAGAATGAAACAATACTGCTCATGGTATAAAGTGTTTTTTTCTTTCTTCATCGGGCTATCTTGCAATGGCATCATATCTTTAACTCCCTATTTATTGAAATAAGCTTTTTCAAACACTTTTGATTCACATTATGGCTAATAAAAAATTACTGAAGAGCCCCGCCTGCTCGCACTTCCAAGGGTGACAGAAAATTGGTTGGAGTGATGGGGGATTCCAGTGAGCTGATAGTAAATCCCTGAAAATGTGATGTCAAGGGAAATCGGATCTTTTTCGAGTTACTGGGGTAGGGGAGCTCGACTTAATCGAGTTCAAGTTAGCCCGGTTCTGGTATAATTCTGATTTAATTCTGGTATACTTCCTCGATAACACCGACAAAACGCGAGGCAGCCATTTTGAAATTCAGCGCCTACGCTATATTTACCTCACGCGAGGTAATTATAGCGAGATATCACGCAATCCTTGACCAATCAAAGCGCGCGCATCTTTACAATCACCGGAGTAATTACATTATGGCCGGATACAACCAAATGTGTAGTATCAGATGAGCATTTAGGTTGATCTGATTTCAGGAATATACCGTATTCACAGGAATACTTCGTCGTTCTTCGAGAAGCCATTCATATGATTCTTGTGGAAAAACGATTTGTCGCTGCATTGTTTATTTTATTTATTGTCATATTCCCCTTCTTTTCATAGTGAAAACATTAATACAAACTACTTTATTAATTTGTTTTGGAATACAATTTACTTAGCATTCAGAAATACTTGTATAACCATTGGCGATGGATAACGTTTCATAATTCAAATGTATGCTGTTAATTTAAAAGCTTATTTAACCTCAAAATTTATTAGAAAATTAATTCTCCCAACAACGACAATGCAACGTCGTGCCAACTGGTGATGAGAATAAATGGGGGGAGGAGGGGTGGAGATTTTGAAACTGACTGCCAATGAGGGGGATCACTAAAATGCTACAGAGCCTTAGGAAGGGGTGATCGTGTCAGTTGATATAACTCATCTCGTACCCAAATCCTATCGTGTGACTGAAATGCAACCGCTTGACCACGGAAGGTCTGGGTACGAGACCAACATATCACCTAGGGAACAGTTGTGGGAGAGAACTCCAAATTCTTAGGATCGACCGACACTGAAATTTATAAACATCTGTTAGGAGAATTGACTCCCAGATCCAGAGACTGAAAGCGTTTAGAACAATTTTTCAAAAAAATTCCCTGGTTCGTCAACCTTATATCAATTTGCACTGCGACGGAGTTTAAATAATTGATTGTAGACACTACATTGTTTTTTCACTTTAATTTTCGATGTAAGGCATTGTTGTTGGCCAAACTTGGAAGAGAATCACCCTTGTGGTTCAGTTCGAATTGGAAGGATCCGCTGGGCGTCACTGAACCGTTTGCGCCTCTAGCATCATGGGAAGGCCTTGGTTTGCCACTAGGGCAGATGATCAGTGTTGTAATCAACAGAATATGACCAATGAAATACGTCGACCTAGGAAGTAGAAATCATGTGCGTTACATAATGGTAATGGGACTGAGTGGAGTTCAATTCGGTCTGTAATCATAAAAGTGATCAACAAAATCGGACGACCGCGAAGCAGGAGTCCGGTTTTTTTCAATCACCAGTATGATTACAGACAGAATAAGACGACGCGAAGTCCTGTTACCAATCAATCATTACCATTACAATTTCCGAAAAAAAAACATTTACGACAAACATCTCCTGTAGGGACAATGTCTAAAGAAAAAATTTTGGAAATTTCCTAGTTATTGCAATTGTTATTGCGATCAATTCTGTGATTGGTGGATTTAGCTGAGTGAACTTGAGATGATTGGCTGCTTTAACTGTCCGATTACAGGTGTCCGATTACAGGTATCCGATTACAACTGTAAAGGGTGATTAGTGAAATTAAAGCAGGTGATGTACCGATCACATTTGAGGAAACTGTAATGGTTGTGATTATAGATTGTTCAAGTCAGTACTTAATGGTTAAATCCTTTATCTTGTGACAAGGAGCCTCCAGAAATTTTGAATCAGTTGTAACTGGGAGGAGAGAGACTTTGTGAGGATAAAGTGTCTTGTCCAAGAGCACTGCACAATGACCTCGCTAGGACTCAAACTCAGCTCTCTTGACTCAGGGTCTAGCACGGTAACTTTTGGATCACTGCGTCAAGTTGTCCTCTATATCGATTTGAATGACTTCGGCTCATGGCAGATAAGTCCGAACTTATTTATCACTCTTCGAAAAAATTGGCACCAAGCTGTTGGTTTATGTTAAAAACATGGATGTGGGCCTGTCCTGATTGTACTCGGCAACTTTTGAGTAACTTTTGGCGTTTGGAGCAACTTTTTGCGGTTCTGGCAACCTCGAGAAATTTTAATTTTGTCTTTCTGATAATTTTTGAGTAAAATATTGGTTTGGAGTCCATACCAAGCATGAAAAAGTTAACGATTTTATAGAAAACTTCTATTCATGCAAATTTGTTGAATAATTATCAACACAAACGAACTAAGTGTTTTGTTCTGTTAGACTTAGAAGTATCCTTAAGTTTCGCCCATATTTGCAAGCAATTCTTTAAAAGTAAGATGTTGACAATCGCAGCGAAGAACGAATAATAAAGCTTTGATTTGCGTCTATATAAAAATATCAAGAAATTTAGGCAGGAAGTTTTGAAATTTAGTCAGCCTTTTTTTTTATTTTTGGCAATATTATAGCAACTTTTTGGCATTCGAGTGAGCAACTTTTCAACATTATACGAGCACAAAGGGGGCAGACCTGGATAGATGTGTGCGTCCTGACAGAACAAGTTTCCCATCAGAGGGCGAATCACCACCTACCAATAGCAACGCATGAGTCATCTTACCTGTAGAAATTCATTGAGAGATCAAATCTCAGCAGCACAAACGCTGCCAAACAATAGGAGGCACATAGAGGGTTACAAGCCATCCACTGAAGAAATTGCAACAAGCTATTGATCAACGGAGATGTCCTTCCGCGAAGGTCGTCACAAGCATGTCGCACCTGGAATAAGAATATTCATTTACTTGTTGTATTTTCACCACTCCGTCACTTGGCCAAGCTCTGGTCAGAGGCCGTACAGGTCTATATAATATCATGGATTACCCAAGCATTATTGATCGGTTCTCACCTATGACCTATTGGCCTTTTTATGGAGGACAGACGCATAGATGACGTCACCATTTCAATTTTTTTTAGCTTTTTCTTCTTTTCAATAAGACAAATAGATTCCATTGCCGTGGATCTGTTCAGGTATAGATCACAGAAGACGTCAGACTCGGCTGCGTCTCGTTTGCCATTTCTTTGTACTTACAACATTTTGACGTCACCTGTGATCTATGACGAAACAGACGCAAGGCAACATGGAATCTCTTTGTTGATTGCACAGCATGACTGGAGCGTAGTAACGTCAGTTATTTCAACAGTTAGAAGCTTACCTTTCTGTCAGCTACTATGAGTAATATAGAAACTAACAATGCCAAAAGATAACCGGGATAAAATCCATGCCATATGGCAGATACAGCTAAAGTGAAGTACGTTCTATGGTGAGATACTCGCTGATAAACAATCCTGATACAAAGAGAAAGAATGGACAAACAGTCAAGAGAGAGAACGCTTATCAGTTTCGTTTACTTCGAAAGACAAAGTTGTTTTTTAATTTTCCCGCTTGATCTGAAGGGGGTAGGGGTGAGTAGGGAGATAGAAAAACTGTTCTTCTATTCATCGAATTTCAATTTATTAATATCAATTTATTAATATCAATTTATTATCCAGCAATTGAAAATTGTATCAGTGCAAGAGTATTGCCATTTGATATAACACTAATTTCTCTTAACTGATTCATGAGGAATTGTATAACATTTGGAAAGGAAAATCTCGGGTTAGATCCTTAGGCTAAAAGAATTAGTTTGAGGATTCTAAGGTGATGTAGCTGGATACAAAGTGGTTATAACAATTTTATGTTGTAAATTCACATCGTTGATTAAGTCTCAATGTTCTTAGTGCTCACCTTTTAAGCCAAAGATTTGTTGTTATATTCCAGTTGTTCAACAAGTCTTTGAAGTTCGTGGATATCTAGGAATACCAAACAATACAAGGCTTACGACTTAATCTAGAGAAAGACTCGACGTGGTATTTTTGTAAGGTTCAGTGATGTCGTGAGTATTTTACTCGTATTTCACTCAGGAGATGTGACTCAATAAAATATCTAGGGGCAGATTGTATACTATTGTTCACATAGAAGAACTAACAACGGTTAGTCAAAACTCTAAATATCGTCTGATGGGTTAGACTGAGTGTTGTAAAAATACGAGCCTCTTACATCGTTTTACATGGTCATGCAGTGTAATTCCCTCCTCAAATACCAAAATAACAAAACTGTTTCAAGACCTGCCATCCCTGTTTATAATGCATACGTTATGGCGTTATGGACTAAGGATTAGCGCGTTAGAATCCTGCTTGAGGGAGCTGGGTCCAAGCTCTACTTGGCTCATTTTGTTGTCTACTTAGGAAGAAACTTTTATCTCTTCCAGTCCCTCTCTTTACCTAGGAGTATCATTTAGCACAGGCAGAAACCTGACTTTTTAGAGGAAAGCTGACAGCAATGAAATGGGATACTTTTAAAGATGACTACTTCGTTGCCGTGGAAACCGGAACAAATGGTCACCTGTGGCAAACTCAAGCCACTAGGTTCGTTTGAGAAGTTAAAATTTCTTTTGAACCAGCTCCTTCTCAGTGGAAAAGGTCAGGAAATTTTACCAACTGAAAACTCCCAATCTGGAACCTTTTATATTTTATGTTCGTTGATAAATTTGTTTAGTTTCCCAAATCAGATTCACAAACCTCTAAATCCACTGGATAAACGTTTGTCATTTTGTTCCAAAGCTCTCGCCCGCTTGGATCATAACCATTGAATCCTAAGCCGCATGCGTTATTTACTGCGTCCGCTGTGGATTAAAATCGCGGACATGACGTTAGAGCGATGGACTTGTATTCATTTACAGGGAGTTGCATTGCCCATACTTCAGCAGTAGGGCTTGCATAATTCATGCGCAGACGCAGTCCTTTTACCCTTCATGAACAAAGAAAAGTAACTGTCGACTTACCGATAATCCAAGCAAAATAATACTTAAAACGTGTAGTGAACATGGCAAGAAACGCAAAAGCCATTCTCCACAAGAAAGAACTATTGGCAATGAAACTGGAATCTGGAATAAATGAACAGTATGGTACTGGCTAATTAGAGATGAAAATACGACTGTGATTATATAAATATAATATATTTGAACTGCGGATTAATAAATGAAATTGAGAGTGATCAGCACAGTCATGAACATTACTTATTAAAGCAGTAGTGAAAATGAAGCCTGAAAAAAAGGTTGAGAGTGATCTTCCTAGTAACAAACACTACTTTAGCAGTAATGGAAACAAAGCCTGAAAAAATTTCAGGCTTGTACGGGAGTTGAACCTCTGCGAAACTGGTGTAGTGCTCTACCAATAGAGCTATCAAGCCAACTGGGAGTTCATTTGATATTCATATTTTCTCAGTCGTTTATTTATTACTTCATAGATTTATTACAAACCAAAAAATAACTGGTTCCCAGTTAGCTTGTTAGCTCAGTTGGTAGAACACGGCACCGGTATCGCAGAGGTCATGGTTCCGACTTCCGTACAAGCCTTAATTTTTTTCAGGCCCTATTTCCATTTTTGCTTAAATAATGTTTGTTACTGAGGAGATCACTCTCATTTTCATTTAGCGATAAAAAGTCTAATACATTTTTTTTAAGCAAACTATTACTGAGAAAAATGAGATAAAAAATGATTCATCTGTATGTCTTTAAATTTTTACCCCCGGATCTAATTTTGAATTCTCCCTTCGAGCCACTTAAACATTTCTTGTTCACTATTGGCAGAGAATTGTGAGCTGTATCAAGAAGAATCAATAGAAACGCACACCTGCAGTAAGATGGAAAGGAAATATTTTGGACAAAATGCAGAAGAGGACCAGACACAGAAGACTTGAGGCGAGCTTCGTTACAACAGCATTCTGATGAGAAAGCAGGATCGAAGAGTTGTTAGGACGCATCCTGACCGAGCATCGTAACAACCAAAACCAAAGATATCACAATCAGAAGAAATGAAAATTACGAGGGCCAATGAGAACTCAACGTAAAAACAAGCAAAGTGCTTAAAGCGCGGGAAAACGCGGGCGACCAAGTCGCATTTGGTTTCAGTTTTAATCTGATTGGTAGAGAAAGTAGTGTGAGTTTTCTCTGGACCAATCACGAAGCACAAGAAAGTAAATACAATATTAATGTAATCCAGGATTACTTTTGACACTCCATTTAAAATTGCTTTTACGTTCAGTTGAATTCGGGTTTAGGTACACAAAGAGATCAGATTATTTACCGTTTTTTTTAATAAAGTAACTTACCGTTGGTGAAGGTTCCTTTTTGGTTTCCTGTTGTTAATAGAGAGTTAGAACAAAAGAAAGTTTATGATTGCTAAGGCATATATTAATATATTTAAAGGTTTAAATCGCTAACGAGTTCTGAGCTCTAACCATCCTCTGCTGACACTACAACATAGCTCTTCGAAAAGTGAAACACTTTTTATTCAAGAAATCCATCTGATTGTTGATAAATAAATACCCAATCGTTTGTCTGACCTTTGAGGGAACAAAATCTACTTGTCAAAATAATGATGAGGATTGAAATGCATCAATGAAAGCACGCCAAAACGAACCAATAGCGGCTGACCATCTTGCTTCATGGGGGGTCGAGGGATTTTTTGGGGAGGGAGGGAGGGGGCAAATGGTAATCAGGGGGGTGGAGGGGGTCTCAATCGTCCTTAACAGAGTATGAATGAGGTACTTTAGAAAATTGACTGACAATGAAGAGGATCATTAAAATACTACAAAGCCTTGTGTGTGTAGGGGGGGGGGGAAAGGGGGCAGGTAGATTTCATCGTGACACGACCAAAAACCTCTGAGCCCTCCCCGATCTTCCGACGATTAATAACGACAAGTACGCAACAGTATAGCAGTCGAAACTTTGTGAATCTCAATCGATAGCTTAAATCTCAGTGGCGGATCTAGGGAAAGGGACACATTATTGGGTAAAAAAAAAAAGAAAGAATTGCAGAAGGAAAGAAAGTGGCAGGATAAGCGACAAAAAACCGCCCCCCCCCTCCTCAGCTCAAGATCTGGATTCGTCACTGAATAAAATCTTCATAGTATAGTAAGATATCTAAATTGTGAGATAAATTACCACGGTACAAAAGTTTAGTTAAAAAAAGGAAACGATGAACTGTGGCAAGAATCTTTCTGCGAACCTGATCTGTAGCACTTGCGATGTCGCGCCCTTCAATAAAGTCCATGAAGTCATTAAAAGTACATACAGGACCTGCTAACAGCGTGCTGTGGTGAAACATGTACCCAAAGTACTCCAGTAGTGAAGGGATGCGTCTGTCGAAACAAAATGGACATATGTTTGTCTATGTACTATTGACGTGAACAGAAATAAAAAAAAAAGTTCTCGCATATGAGCTAATATTGAAGAAGTTACAGAAAAAGAAGCTTGGAAAAATCCAGGCTTTGAGACCTGGCTGCACCTCATGTGCCACTGTTTTGTTCTCACCGCGTTTCGATGTCATCTGTAATCTGTTGCTGAACAGACGCGCGGGAACATGCCATCTACTTGACAAATTTTTAAAAACAGTTATAGGAAAGCTTCATGCAATTAATATATAATCTATTGGGAAAAGCTCGGAATACTCACTGAATTCTCTGCTCTTTTTGATCCTTCGAAAGTTCAACTGCCCGTCTTCCAAGCCCTGCCGTTAAAAATGATTCTAACTCTCCACAGCGCATATCGAACGTTTTTATAAACATAATATACCTTTTATAAGTTTCTACCCATTGACTCAGTGGTGAGAACTCTATAGTGAATCTCAGAGAGCAAAATATTTTAAATGTTGATGATAAAATACCCTAGGCTTCGGCGGAACGATTCATGTTGCCCTTTGGCACAAAATGCAAAGTTCTTGAGTATGTACACACATCCTGAATTCTACTGAACTATCCAAATTCATTATAGGAGACTTGAAAAATTACATAAAACTTGCATATAAAAGACACCGAAGGAATCGGTTTGCATCGGCTGGCAAACAGAAAGTGTTATGGTATGGTACTTTCTAGTGCGCGAGATATCTCCTCAGGTCGGCTCCAACTGTCTCGCGTGCAAAGCTGATCGTGGCGCAGGGCAACGAAAGCCAGCTCAACGGCCTGGTATTTTCCGCTCTTCTTGACAAGTCACATATGAAAACTGTTATCAAATGGACTTTTCTAGGCACTTTATGATCTTACCATCATGTAAGCTGAATGCCAAATATGTCACTTTTTGAAACATGATCATCAGGCGGCTGAAAGACCAATATGACTCTATAAGTTCCTAAAATACTTTTAAATGTTGCTAATTCAGCGAATTTGTGTCATAAAACTCGCGTCAGTCCCTCAAAACGACTTTGAAATTGTCAGTTACGTTTAGTTGGAAAGATCTGGAAACGTCTTGGTGATTCAAGAACGAGTTTCATCTCGTAACCAGGTCCCGCTGGAGTGGTTAGCCGTGAGAGATATGGATACACAACTAAATCAAGGCTAAACTAGTCCCAGACCTCTGGAGGAGGAAAGAAAGTATCACAGTACTCTGAAGTACTCTGAAGATTGGTCGATCACTGAACCTGACTAGCATCTAAGTTCTCCTTACAATGTCACCCTTGAATCAGACACCAAGGTTGCAAGAATAAAGGGAAAAAAAACCAAAGAAGCTTTTCTTTATGAAACGAATTTTCCATATCAAGAACTTTAGGATATGTTTGCTGCACAGTATGATGACAGGGCGTAAAGGGTTAATCATTAAGATTTCGCCTTACCCGGAGTAGTCAAATCTATTGATTCCATAGTAAAGGATCATCCGGGCTATTTGTCCCACTGACAACCAGATCAAAGATACCACAATGACGACCCTGGACAGTGACAATAATATGATAACAAAAGTTGAATAATGAATAGTTTGAGGAAATAATGGCACATTACTTTCTCTTGTGAAAACGTAACATGACATACCGATGGATCTGACAGTACAGCGGTCACGAAGTGTATTCGAGTAAGGGTGATTTACCATTTTGTATGAGCTTTACCAAACATGCTGGGAGTTAGAACATCATGACTAGCTGGCTAACACGACCGTCTTTAACCTTGTGAGAAGTTCTAGATTGGGTTGATATTTTGGCTGCCTCTCAGCCGTTTCAAAAGTCCGCTCATTTGACCGTCTTATTAGATCTGACGACATAATGGCTGTAGGGCAATCGGTGGGTACGTATTATGAGCCATTGAGAGGCCAGTATAAGAAGTTTCAACTGAAAGAATATTGGATCAAGGATCAAAGTACAGTTTTACTTACTTGTGGACTTTCTTTGGATTAACACTCACTGTGAACCCGTAACAGAGTGCACACACTAGAATCAGGATAATCATTTCGCTGAAAATAAAAGGAAAAATATAAATCTCTCTGCTCACCTATCAAGTCAATGAAGAGACGAGATTTGTTAGCGCGATAGGACAATTTTCAATTGAACTTCGAAAGTAATACGGTTTGCCTCGCCACGGCTGTGATTGACATTCCGACCAATTCCTTCGCTCGAGCAGTGCAAGACTGTCACAGGCGATTTCCCACGCTTTAGGTTGTTTGCTTGCGTTTACTCTGAGATCTAATTGACTCTTCAAGGTATTCCTTTTGTGTTAAAACCCGTTTGTATTACTTTGATTTGTTGTTATAACACGCAATTGCAATGCGCACTGTTGTGGCCGAAATATCTGACTCCTAAATGGCGTTAAAATCTGTTTGCAGTTCTTTGACTTTTTTTATAACACTCAATTGCAATGCGCTCTTTTCTGGCAGAAAATATCTGTCTACTATATGAAACCAACAAAGACAGCCAAAACACAAAGAAGTCTTAATGCATATATTAAGTTAATTAAGATATTGTTCTAGAAATCTTTATAATATAAATAGAAATTTCCTTGACATGAAATAAGGAAGCTAAGAAGTCGATTTAATACACCCTGCTGAGAAAAAATTTTCCCATGTTTCTGACACTTCTTAACCTTGAGCACTAAAATAAGTCAAATGTAAATACTCAAATCATAGCCGATGACTACTCATGCAAAAACCAAGTGTAATATATGCATTAAGCGAAGCGGAAAGCTCAACTAAATTTTACGAAATGTTTCAGAATTAAAATCCTACCTTCCTAAACATATCCAGCCTAAAAAAAGGCCCCAAAGTATTGTCATTGCCAAGCGTGTATTTGCTGACACCCTTTTCGGATGCAATGTTGTGCGATATACGGATCCAAGCGGGAAACATAACAGCATGCAAAAGACGAACTGGATCTGCAGAGATGACAATATACATATCTAGCTCGTATAACATCGCCGTTGATTTAGAGAAAAGTTGTGGTTCACAAAGATTATAATACACTTTTTCTGAGTTCCTCGAGATGATAAACGTGATGGTTACACGGCAGGAAGTTTAAATCATTTGACCATAGTTAAGCATATAAACATTACGACAAAGGGTGCACAATACTATAATTTTTTAAGATGGAATAGAGTTATAATTACGAAATAACTGTGTCTTTTTTCGCGTGTTGAACACTGGGTTTCTGCTTTTTATAAAGGAACAGTCGGTAAGTTGATTCAGTGAGACAGACAGGACGCGTTTAAATCTTGAATCTAGGACACATACACAGTAATCGATTGGCGAGGTAACTACAAAAATATACCTTACCTGCTCGACTGGCGTACTCAGCGCCTTGGCTACAAACAGCAGCGAATCTTGTATAAAAAAGATCATTCTGCCACATACGAACTGTTTTCGCGTTGTAAACAAATGGGCAATGAATCGGAGGCTTTCCGGCAAAATCTATCGTTGAATAAAACCTGCTGACGTTGTAACGCCACAGTGGTTTCTTTTTATTCTACTAATTTAATTTATTCAGAAGAGAAGAATTAAAAAAATGCCTTATTAGTGTTTGCATGATCAGTGACCGATCGTTTTCAGAATTTGAACAAATTTTTGCGAATTGTCATGTAGCCAGTGAGAACTTTGAAGAAATTTGTGATGTAACACTTGCAGAACTTACTCCAACAATAAGACAAGCCGCTCTATTGATACAACTCAAATATTTAGTCGAACGACGTTGTTTAGATTTATCTTGAATACACATTGAGATCAGAAAGATGAATAGGTTAATTTCATACTCAAGTCAAGTGGCTAGTTGGGCTGCAACCTATTCCGATTTCCATAGCACTAAGAGTGAATTCTAAAAATTCTGAGACATTAGCATATGAGGTTTTCGATCACAAAGGGCGGGCAAAGGAGCGAGGTCTGACGAAGGAGGGGGGAGGGGAGAGGCGAGGGAATCTGTCCTTCTCTCTCCCTAGGTCCCAACCCTCTTTTTTCGCCTGCAACCACTCTTCTCAGGCCACTGCTGAGGGATAACAATACGCTCAATTGACGGTGGTGAACAATTTCCTCAACTAGGGTATACGCAGTTTCTCTCTTTTTTTAAAGACATGTACACCGATCATTTGCACAGAAAAGGCGTATTTAGATGGCACTATGAAGTTGGGGATGAACCATATACTTTCCTTAAAAATGAAAAAAAGAAAAAAAAACTCGTCCTACGCTGTCTCATGCTGACGGTGCTTATCTTGAGGTTTGTCAATGAAGAGTTGGGGATGGTACTTATTTATAAAGGGTGTAAGTTTCTAAACAAACTGTGGTGCTGCGTCGGTGGGAGAGTATAGCGAGGTAATTTGGTGTTCTACTGAGTTGATAACGTGAATTGGCCACCGTTAAGAGTTTAAAGGCTGCCATCTGAGCGTTGGCTCCTCGTCAGAGCAATTGACGAAGTGCTAACGCTCGAAGCGTTAGCCTTTAAACTCTTTACGGTGGCCAATTTACGTTATCATCTCGGTTGATAACACCAAATTACGATGGCACCTAGTTAGACTCCTGGGAGGCAGGGGGAGGTCAAAAGTACTGCGAGGGACCGATGCGTCGCGCAAAACATTGAATGACATCTCTTTTTTTTTCCACACAATTTTAATGCTAAACGTGAACCTGCCATTTGAGTTAGTTAAGTGCTTTTAGTTATTAATTTTCAAACCCCGAAGTATTTAAGTTTCCAGTTTTCAAAAGATCACGCGGCAGACCTGAGGAATCTCTAGTGTCATTTGATTTGTTCAACACAAGCGTAACTGAATTTATTTTTCAGGTAATTTGGAAAAAATTGAGAGTGAATATTAAACGTCACAGTAGAAAACATATATCATGGTTCATTTATGCTACAAGATAAATCCTAAAAAAAGATTTAAAAAAAGAAGATTCATCTCACCCCGATTTTGATGTTGGGAAAGAAATTTGGTCGTGTTTTGAGCGAAAATTGCAAATGTCAAAGGTCATCGCTATACAACCCTCTTGGAGGAGAATTTAAATTTTACGAGCTCTAAAACAAATCTGTATAAATTAGAGTTTGCTCTAGTAAGAATTTAATTTCATATGACCATAATAATAATAATGATAATAATAATTTATTTCTACAAATGACTTGTTTCTCGTGTTCGTCAAGTAAATCTTTCTAGATGCGTAATTCAATCTTTTAAAATCTGCTCAGACTGCTTCGGCCGGTTTCCAGTTGTCAAGGCGGAAACGCTGGAATGGCGCGCAGCCTGGCTTCATAGGGACACACGGATTCCCACGCAAATTTGTGCTTGTGATATCATAGATAGATGGGTTTTCTTCGTAAGGCCTTCGTTCTGCCCATCAGTCCATCTTTCATACGAGTGAACGAAGAGGTACTGGACTTCGGCCGATCACTCGACGAAGACGCCCGAAGCTTTTCAGTCGACTGACTCCGAAGTCTGTCCAATGAAAATGGTCCTCTCGAAGATTGCTTCGGCTTCTCTTCGGAAACCGAATTTTCAGTCCAATTATACGATGAGCGAGATCGTAATTTATCGGCAGGAAGAGGCCGCTTCAATTCGCCAGCGGAGGAACCTTTAACTTTATGAACAGTAAAAGGTACTTTAGGTTTGTCTTCGTTGAACGAATCATCATTCTTTTCGGTGTGTGAGTGAAGCTTCTTAGAAGTTACGCTCTTCACCTTTTCCACGTGAAACGGTCCTTGAGTGCGGTTTTTGGCTTCACCGGACAGTGCATCCTTTTTATTCCCACCGTCATTATTTTTACCATCAAACGCATTGAATGTACGATTGTTATTGTTGTTGTTGTTGTTTACTTTGTAATCCTCACCATCTCCCTCTTCAATCCGCCTCATTCGTGTATGAAATTCAAACGGTCGGGACAGTGTCTTGGAACTGTCTTGAGAAAAACGTCCTAACCTCTTCTTTTTCTCGCTCTTCTCGAACGAAGGAGTCCTTTTTACAAATGAAGGCACTTTCAAATTTCCAGAATCTTTCACTTTTTCACGACTTCGAATAAAACTTGACACTGACTTCTGTACAACTTCTCTGGCCTGCTTATTGTCTTCTGATGTAGTAACTTCATGAAAAGCGCAATTCAGTTCCATCGACAGACTTTTCCCCTCTTCATATTTAACTCGCCGAAAATGTTCAAGATCACACTTGTTGGCAACGATTGCTATGGCAACGGAATCTGCGGTACTGTCCTTTATGAAACGAGCAATGCGCTTTGCTTCTTCAAAACTGGAACGATCGGTGATGGAATACAAAATGATGAAAATGTCGCCTTGACGAGAAATGAGAGTTAGCTTCTCAGCCGTGTTCTGAAAGCAGAAAAGCACAGGGTTAGCTTCACAAAAACTTACTGTCGTAATTTGCATTGCTATTATAAAGCTTTTCATTTTTGCCCTTTTCGCTGACTCGAGTTGCCCAGATTTCCGACGTTTTGTCGAGTTCAGTCTTCGAACCTCGTTTGAGAGAGAAGCGTGGGCTCATTTTCTGACTGGCGGCTGATCATTCAGCCTATGACTGGTAACTCAATATTTCTATTAAAACTAGTTCAAATGCATTTAAATGTATCTAAAACAAAAATGAATATGACAACGTACCTCTCCTGCAGTATCCGCGATCTCCAACTCTACTTCTTCATTGTCTGTTTCGACATGATGCCTGTAGGTTCCCTCTGAGAAAAGAACGACATCAATTATTGTCAATCAGTTGCTAATACGATTGCGACCTGCCGGCGATAATTCGATTTTGACGTAACTTCTTTACTCTAAGTAAGGTAAAATCCAATGTCTTAGCTAGTTCCCAGCGTTCAGTTAGTGAGGCGGGGCGCGGAAATAGTAAACGGCGCAATAATAGCGGCAAAGAGACTGGTGCGAGTAAACAAGCCTTTTTACGAATAAGTATTCTAATCCGGCTATTTCCTTGTTTATATAAATTATCCACTTACCTATCGCTCGGGCATATTCTCCAATAAACCGCCTGGTCATAAACCTCACAATCAGGGCTAGAGAAGAAATCAGTTAAACTGGTTAGTGAATGATTGTATACATAAAGTTGTTGTTTACAATAAGTTGTCATTGAATACATTTAAAAAAATTCTTATACATTGCAAACATCCTACCTATAAAAAATGTAGTTTATTCGATTAAAAAAACAGTCTCTTCAGATTTAAGCTAGTGACAATAATTTCCCATATCCGTGACTCGGCAGAGAGTTTAAGATCAGAATCACCGGAAGAGCATGGGTGGGAGGGAAAGGAGCTAAAATGTCAAGCGCTTGAAAATTGGGCGAATAATTTTTGTGGTGTGGTAGTAGCAGAAGAAAGATATTTTTTAAAGACCTCTCACACTTTTGATCAACAGATCGAAACAGAAAATAATTGAGTGAATGATTTTGTTGAAAACAGATTTATGCGCCTTGAGAAATAAATTAATTTATCTGTAGCCCGCAAAATAGTCTCTATAAACCTCTATAAAATAATACAAGCTTGTTTGAAGGCACATGAATATTGTGATGACTCAACGTTACGAGGCAACACTTCGAAGAACAATCGAGAAGCTGCGTTTGATAATGGAGGACTCAATTTAATCTACTCGACTTTGATCGAAAGAATCAATCATGTGTTGTGATTAAACAAAGACGATCATTTCTAAAGAGAGAGTGTGTCAAACGTCATTTGATAAAATAAGTTGACTGAACTTTTGTCCAACAGGAACTGAGAATGACAGATTTCTACAACGATCGAGAGATAAGACTCCATCTGCTTCGAAACACATTTTTTTAAACCACACAGACTCAATTTTTGGCATTTAAACAACGCACAGTTTTTCCATGTATCTGACCTCAGTCTCAGCATCGAAATACTTGAGTGGTTTTGAAGCGACTTTTAATCTTTGCAAGGTTTTGTATGGAGGTATTGCACTAAAAGAAGTACTGTCAACTCTGAAAATCAAGTAGTTTGGATCTTCACTGCAAATCAATCACAACGGAACAAACACTTAGATACTGAGGTAATTAGCACTCTTGTTATCTCTTAACAATAGAACAGCTCCAAGGTGCAATAATAATTTATTGTGCTTACGAGATTTCATCATCGGTCTTAACTTACCCGATTTGCCAACTCCAGCCTTCCCGAGGATATAAGCTTTCGCTGGTTTAATGGATAACTGATTGGGTCTGCGTCTTCTCATGGTCTGGTCCTCGCCCGGCCAACAGTTCGCACAGGGTTAATAATTACAGCGGGCTCCTGAAAAGAACCGACAACAATGAATTCATAAGTGAATTAGAAATGACACGTCACTTAATTGTGTATAACGGAAAAATTTTCCTACATTTTTTGTGGTTCTTCATTGGCAAACCACTTCGACTTTCTCATGTTTTACCCGTTCTCATTCCTCTTCGAGTTTTCTCGACTCTTACATTAACCCTTTCAAAAGTGATTAAAATGTAACTTCGCCCTATAATATCCATAGATTATTCAGCAAA